TCCCAGGTACTTGGGAGGGTGAGGCAGAAGAATCGCTTGAACCTGGGAGGTGGAGGTTGCAGTGACAGACCGAGACTCCATCTCAAAAAAAAAGAGAAAAAAATAAAGACATCTGAGGCCTTCCAGGCCAGGTGTGGTGGCTCACGCCTGTAATCCCAGCACTTTGGAAGGCTGAGGCGGGTGGGTCACTTGAGGTCAGGACTGCAAGACCAATCTGGCCAACATGGCAAAACCCTGTCTCCAGTAAAAATACAAAAATTTGCCAGGCGTTATGGTTTGCGTTGATAATCCCAGCTACTTGGGAGGCTGACTCAGGGGAATCGCTTAAATCCAGGGGGCAGAAGTTGCAGTGAGCCAAGATCTTGCTCCAGCCTGGGTGACAGAGTGAGACTGTCTCAAAAAAACAAAAAACCCAGACATTGCCAGATGCAATTAGGACCAAAATCTAACACATGCGCTTTTCTTTTCTATTCCAGTTAAACTCAAAAATTTACAGAAGAAAAGGTGAGACCATCCCCGGAGACCTTCTGAGTGTGGTTTGGGGACAGAAGGACACTTCCCTGGCAGAGTGGGCACTCCACGCCCCCTCTTAAACAGCACCTCCTGGTGGCCATGCTGCATAATAGGAACAGGTGCCATGTATTAAGTGCCTATTGTGTGCTGGATGACTGTGCTAGGACTCTCTGAAGCTGGAGCTCCTTATCCTCATGGCAACCCTGGAAACAGGCAATATGAATAGTCCCATTTTGCAGATGAGAGGACTGAGGCTCAGTATTTGGTCACAGAGTGAGCAGTTTGCCCAGGGAGAGGCCCTTCCCCACACCCCTTTACCTCCAGCTGCCAGAAAACGGTCATAGTCACTCTAGATACCCACAGTCAATTTCTAATGAATGTCCCTGGGGTTGTGTGGTGCGCAATGACACTGTAGGCAGTGGCCCAGGTTCCTGGGCGCCAGGATGTCCTAACTGGCCCCAGCCTTAGTTTCTCTCCTCTGAGAGTGCTTTCTCTCTTCTTCACCCTGCTGCCTGGTGGTGAAGACCTGCTCTGGGGATCGAATCCATCTTTACCTGGCTGTGGGCTGCCTACCCAAGAGAATTTTTATTATTGTTATTATTTTTAGACAGAGTCTTGGTCTGTCGCCCAGGCTGGAGTGCAGTGGTGTGATCTTGGCTCACTGAAACCTCTGCCTCCCTGGTTCAAGCGATTCTTCTGCCTCAGCCTCCTGAGTAGCTGGGATTACAGGTGCCTGCCACTGTGCTTGGCTAATTTTTTTTTTTTTTTTTTTTT